GACAAGCCATTTAGGGAAAAAAATATGAAAAGTGGTGAAATCATAGAATGTTAGAACTGGAATGGACTTTAGTGAATATCTTAATTGTCTAGTGCTGTTATAACAGAAATACCACATGTGAATGGCTTTAACAAACAGAAATTTATTCTTTCATAGTTTAGGAGGCTGGAAGTCCAAAGGAGTCAGGTCCAGGGAAAGGTTTTCTTTCTCTTATGGCTCTAGGGGAAGGTCCTTGTCATCAGTCGTCCCCTGGTCTAGCAGTTTCTCAGCACAGGGACCCCGGGTCCAAAGGATGCACTATGCTCCCGGCTCTTCTTGTTTGGTAGTAATGAGGTCCCTCTCTTCTCTGCTCGATTTCTGTCTTTTATATCTCAAAAGAGACTGACACAAGATACAGCCTAATCCTGTAGATTGAGTCCTACCTCATTAACATAACTGCCTCTAATCCTGCCTTATTAACATCGTAGAGATTAGGATTTACAACACATAGAATAATCACATCAAATCACAAAATGATGAATGTGTTGGTTAAGATTGTGTGTCAACTTGGCTGGGCCATGATTCTCCGTGTTTTAATGTAATCACTCCCCTGATTGAATATACTGTGAGTAGCCAGTCAGATGGAAGGGAGTCTCCTTGGGGGTGTGGCCCGAATTTGTATATAAGCAGACGTTCTGGCTTGTTGCTCTCCCCGGATCCTGTGGCTGCTTCCTGTCGTCTCATCTCCCGTTCTTGGGACTTGAGTTGTCAGCTTATCTGCCAAACCTGGGATTCGTTGATCTGCACAGCTGGTGAGTGGGAGCCCTGCTCTCTGACCTTCCGATCTTGGGCTTGCCAGCTTCTGCAGCTGTGTGACTTGGGAAAGGCCTCTCCCCTGATCCACGGACTTGGGACGTTCTAGCCTCTACAATCACGTGAGCTGTTTCCTTGATATAATCTCTCTATATATATGTATTTATACACTTTACTGGTTTTGCTTCTCTAGAGAACCCAGCCTAAGACAATGGACGACCACACAATACTGGGAAGCATGGCCAAGCCAAGTTGACATAAATTTTTGAGGAACACAATTCAATCAGTAACAGTGAGTTTCACCATTTATTTGTTTTGAAGATAAAGAAATTGAGTGGGAGAAAGGTGGAGCCAAATGCCAAGATCCCACAGCTGTGATGGCAGAACAAAACTTGAACCCAGGTCTTCTGACACCAACAGAGTCCTCAACACCAACCCATGCTGGTCCTGCTGTTAGGAGCAAAAAGCCAGAGCAACTCCCACTTCTGGTATGGATCATGAGACCTGCCATCATGTAGAAGGCCCAGAGTCTTTGCACACTTTCATTTATCCAGCGAGAACTGCACTCAGCTCATCCATTGCTCCTCTTTGAAAACATCATTTCCTTAACCTGAGAAGTTTCCCAGAGATGTTCCAAAACCACTGAGAGGAGTTGGTATAGATGCTGCATGAACATGCCCCCCACATCCCATGATGGAGTGAGACCATTGCAAGCCACATTACAGCCACTGGAGGCTCAAATCCCCTAGAAAAAAACAATCCAGAACACTGGGGAGACAGGGAGATATGCTGTTGTTGTTAGCTGCCATTGAGTTGCCTCCTGACTCATGGTGACCCCGTGCACAACCAGTCCTGTTCCATCCCCATGATGGGTTGTGAATCAGATCGTTTGACCCATAGAGTTTTCATGGCTGTTTTTCAGAAGTAGATTCCCAGGTCTTTCTTCCCAGTAGATCTTCGTCTGGAAGTTCCACTGACACGTGTTCAGCATCACAGCAACACGCAAGGCTCCACTGACAGACAGATGGTAGCTACCCTTATGGTGCATTGGCTGGGAATCTGGGTTTCCTGCACAAAAGGTGAGAATTCTACCACTGAACCACCGCTGCCTCAGTGAAATTAAACCAAGTGAATTAGATTGAGTCCCATCAAAATTCCATCATTGAGAGGACAGCTGGAATCAAAAGGCAGTGGAGAAGGCTGGGGGGAACATGAGGACAGGATCCTGAAGAACTCCTGGCATATAAGAAAGTGAACCACAAGTGTGGTCCCAGCTCAAGGCTGGAAGAAAAGATTTGGGGGCACAAGTTTGTTGTCCTGATGCTCTCTGGCTTCTGTGTTGAGCAAGTGTTATTTATGAATGACACACGCTCTCCCATTGTATATATGAAGGATTATGGTGTAGGAGAAAAACTGTGATGGGTTTTGAATACAGACATACTTGGGATTGAATCTTGCTATGGGTGAACTTGGCGAGTTGCTTAATATCGCTCGGCCTCAGTTTCCTCTTCTATAAATGCGGATAATTATAGTTGCCAGTTTGTCAAGGAAAGTAAATAAGGCAACCCCTGTAAATCTCCAAGGCCAGTGTCAGGCGAGTTGTTATTGTTAGGTGACATCGAGTCGGTTCCGACTCATAGCGATCCTGTGTACAATAGAATGAAACACTGCCCAGTCCTGTGCCATCCTCACAATTGTTACGCTTGAGCCCATTGTTGCAGCCATTGTGTCAGTCCATCTTGTTGAGGGTCTTCCTCTTTTTTGCTGACCCTCTACTTTACCAAGCATGATGTCCTCCTCCAGGGGCTGGTCCCTCCTGATAACATGTCCAAAGTACATTAGATGAAGTCTCGCCATCCTCGCTTCCAAGGAGAACTCTGGTTGTATTTCTTCCAAGACAGACTTATTTGTTCTTTTGACAGTCCATGGTATATTCAGTATTCTTTGCCAACACCACAATTCAAAGGCATCAGTTCTTTGGTCTTCCTTATTTATTGTCCAGCTTTCACATGCCTATGAGGCAGCTGAAAATATCATAGCTTGGGTCAGACACACCTTAGTCCTCAAGGTGAAATCTTTGCTTTTTAACACTTTAAAGAGGTCTTTTGCCACAGATTTGCCCAATGCAATACGTCGTTTGATTTCCTGACTGCTGCTTCCATGGGTGTTGATTGTGGATCCAAGTAAAATGAAATCCCTGACAACTTCAGTCTTTTCTGCATTTATCATGATGTTGCTTATTCCAGTTATGAGGATTTTTGATTTCTTTATGTTGAGGTATAATCCATACTGAAGGCTGTAGTCTTTGATCTTCATCAGTGTTTCAAGTCTCTTTGCTTTCAGCAAGCAAGGTTATGTTATCTGCATATTGCAGGTTGTTAATGAGTCTTCCTCCAACCCTGCTGCCAGGTTCTTCAAACAGCCCAGCATGTCCAATTATTTGCTCAGCATACAGATTTAATATGTATGGTGAAAGGATACAAACCTGACGCACACCTTCTTGATTTTAAACCATGCAGTATCCCCAGGCGAGAGTCAGTAGTAAATGACAGTTAGCTGTCGTCATTGTGGAGCCCTGGTGGCACAGTGGTTAAGGGCTTAGGCTGCTAACCAACAGGTCAGCAGTTCAAATCTACCAGCCTCTTCTTGGGAACACTATGGGGCAGTCCTTCTCTGTTGTCATTGTGGTGTGGCTGCTTTCGTCAGCAGGATGAGTTCTGGTGTGACAGTATCTCAGGGTACTTACACATGGTACCCACCTGGAGACGGGTGACTGTGTAGTTCGTAGGCTGTACAGTGACTGGGCCAACCAACCCTCCCAGGGATGGATTACCCAATAAGCAAGGTACACACGGGTTTACTTCCGCTTACTTACTAATCTGTAGTACACAATTTCACATTTGTATAGTACAAAATTTGAAATTGTGCACTACAGACTAGTAAGTAAGCACAAGCAAGCCTGTGCTTACCTTGCTTACTGGTTAATCTGCCCCTGGACCTTCCCACCAGCCATCACCCCCTACCCCAGCCTTACTCACCCCTGTGCTTATGCAACGCACTGGCCCCAGGTGTGAGCAGTGAGTTGCCATCTCTGAGCCTAATCATCCCTTGGAGAAATTAAGTCACCTGGGTGCAAGTGAGTTCATTGTTCTGGAGTGGTCATCTGCACTGGCTGTTCTCAAAACAGAGTGTGCATCAGAATCACCTCCAAGGCTGGCTAACACACAGGTTGCTGGCCCCCCTCGTGGAGTTTCTGATTCAGTAGGTCAGGGTGGGGCCCAGAATTTGCATTGCTCATAAGTGCCCAGGTGATGCTGCTGCTGCTGGTCTGCACATGCTGGCCAAGCATAATAAAGCCAGATAACCGGAGGCAAAAGAAAACCAGTTGCCATCAAGTTGACCCTGACTCATGGCAACCCCATGTGTGTCAGAGTAGAATTGTGCTCCACAGGGCTTTCAGAGGTACCTCGGAAGATCTACTTCCAAAATATCAGCCATTGAAAACCCTATGGAGCACAGTTCTACTCTGACACACATGGGGTTGCCATGAGTTGGAGTCAACTCAGTGGCAATTAGTGTATTCATCAGGGAGGAATAAGCTGATTGGAGTCCTGCCTCTTCTTCCTGCTTCTCCCAGTTGCTGATGGAGTTGTTAAGCTGTAAAACATTTAACAGGCAGAGAGAACGGGGAAGAAGGAGCATCAGGGATTGAGAAAACACGCCTCTGATGAATTGGGCGAGTTGCTGTGATGAGATGCCCTTTGTCAGAAGAGGAGTAATTGCTCGTGTTTGCCTTTCAGAGAAAAAGCCAATTTCCACTTGTTTCTCTCCTGCCCAGGACAAGGGTTATGCATCCTTCATCTCTCAAGCCAAAAAGTGCACGTTTGACACTTTTTCTTTAGGCGCACGGATGACCACTTTAATCAAACCCCTTGAACGCAGCCCATTTCCCAAAATCAGGAAATGGATCTCTGGATGAGACGAAAGGGCTCCATCTAACCCTTGCAGTTTCCTTCCTGAGTCCATAGCATCTGCCAGTGAATTGTCCAGGCCACCAGTGCTTTGGTTTCTCTGTGGCGGGTACTCTGGGAGCCCATGAAATAGGAAAAGACCCACTGGGCTTCTTTTGCCTTTGGTGCTGTCTGTGTGTGTTTATTCCGTCTGTCGCAGATGCTCCCCGTATTCACTGTGCTTTGTTAACTTTGAAGGGCTTAAAGAACCAGTCCCGAGTCAAGCTGAACATCGTGCGGTGTCCTCCGGTAACCACCGTGCTGATCCGGAGGCCAGACCTGCGCTACCAGCTGGGGTTCAGCGTCCAGAGCGGAATTGTAAGTACAGCGCACTCCAGTCTCTCTCTCGACACTCTGACAAATAAGAATGTAGCACAGTGTTTGGTCTGGCTTTATTATTATTTTATCTTTAAGCCAGCATCTTAGTTATCCCATTCTGCTATAACAGAAATACCGCAAGTGGGTGGCTTTATCAAACAGAAATTAATTTTCTCACAGTTTAGGAGGCTGGAAGTCCAAATTCAGGGCGCCGGCTCTAGGGGAAGCCTTTCTCTCTCTGTCGGCTCTGGAGTAAGGTTCTTGTCTCTTCAGCTTCTGCTTCCTGGTTCCTTGGAGGTCTCTGTGTGTCTTGGCATCTGTCTTACCCCATCTCTGCTCCTTTAGCTTGCTTGTTTAATCTCTTTTATATCTCAAAAGAGGTTGACTTCAGACACACCCCATCCTAATCCTGTCTCATTTACATAACAAAGAAAACCCATTCCCAAATGGGATTATAACCACAGGCATAGAGGTTAGGATTTACAACACATATATTTAGGGGACATAATTCAATCCATAACAGCCAGTTAGCTCCCTGAAAGAGTCAAGGGAGGCGGAATGGTGAGGTGAGCTCAGCTTCCTCTGTGAGCAGAGTTCCTCTACAGACAATTCTGTGCTCTTCCCAGAGCCATGGCCCACAAAGCCCAGCTTTCTAGTTGTGACAGTTCAGGGTTGTCCTGCCAGCAACCATCTTTAGTTGGGGATGCACCCACAAAGGGTCCGCACCTCGGCTGCACAAGAGGCCCAGGGAACACCTACAACTGCCCGTGCGTGGGCTAGGCCTCAAGAGCAGCGAAGTCTGGCTGGGGGTATAGTCCTGCTGCCTCTCCCTGCTTCCCCTCCGTTGCTCAGGGAGATGTTGGTAAGCTGTGAAATGTCCAACAGGCAGAGAGAATGGGAAAGAAGGGTGCAGGTACAGTGAAACCTGTGAGAGCCGGAACTTGACAGGACTGCGTTGTTTTTCTGGGTCTTGCAAGTTTTCTGCCTTTGACAGGGTGCAGTCTTAAACCACTTTTCTGTCACTCTTGATTAGTGGGAAATATTTTAGTTTTCCTTCTCTAGGTTTCTGCCTTACACAGGTTCTGGCTTTTGCAGGTTTTACTGTCTTTTTTAAAGCTCCCCAGGTAATTCTGAGGTTGGGAACTACTGCCTTATCGATGTAGTCATGCATCACCTGGGCTTACCTGAATTGCCCTTTTGAACTGAATTAACACTTAGGGGTTAAAGAGTATTTTTATCAGTTGGCTGTCTGCCTTGTAAGATAATTCCTTTTTGTCTTGGATTTACTTGTTCTGGAATTGTCTGGCCTTTGATGGCAAATCTATTCTCTATCTGTAACCTTCCTGATTATATAGGTTTTGGATGTACTCCCCCTTTCTTTGTATTCATCTTTCCAGACAGAGGGCCCTACTCGTTTTTCCCCTTTAACTTTCAATTAAGAGTTCTAGGTAATTCAGATTTTATTCCAAGTACTTTTTAAGTTTTAGAAATATTCTGGAAATTCCCAGTTGGAGCTGAAATATCCAGCCCCATTTTATGTGCTGTTTCTACCTTAGTAGCTTAATTTGCCTGCTAGGAGAGGAGCGGGGTTACTTCTTTTGGTTTTGGCCTGACATCATACTTTCAACTGTTTATACTTATTTGTTTGCTTTGTTTATATCCAAATAATATTGAAAGTGAAAACATTAGCAAGTTATTATAGAATGGGTGAGGGTGCATTGGGGCCCCCCGTTTTATCTAAAGTGGGAAGGGTTCCTTAGGAATGTTTTGACCCCAAAGTACCTGAGCCAGTGAAGGGGCCACATGCTCACAGGACAAGATGTTGCTTGTCTGCATGGGCTTTCAAGTAAAGATGCACAATGTGGAATGAAAGGTCGGCGTGGTAAATCCATACATGCTCTTTTGGGTAGATTCAGGTTGCTTTGTGTGTGAGGTGGAGGTGGCTGTTCTCTGCACTGCCAAGCCGAGGACTATCCTAGCCCTGAAGGGCTCATTTTTGCCACCAGCCTGCAGCCTCCACCCACCGCCTACCTGGCTCCACAGTAACAGTAACCAGCCGCGTTGTTGTTTCTGTAAGGAGTGAGTGTACACAGGGAGAGCTGAGCTGGGAAGGCCGAAGGGGTGTCTCCTCTCCAGCTCCCCTGGTGCCAGCCCCCTCTTTGGCTCATGCAGTTGTGATCCTAAAAAACAGGCAGCTGGCATTAAGCGATTTAATGGGTGAATCCCAATCATGATTGTGGGAAATGATACTAACCTGTGTCACAGTTTACAAGTTGAAGACATTGGCCACCCTGTGACAAGCCAAAACAGCTCTTTTTACCAGCACCCAGCTGGGAAGCCAAGCACTCAGGATGAAGGTGCCGTGAAATCCAGTCAGTCATGTGCTGTGTTCCTTGCGTGAAGTGCATGAATGGAGGCGCCACCTTTCTTGTGAAAAGAAATAAGGACATTCAAATTCCCAAAGCCTAACCATGTCAGCTTTTCAGAGATGAGAGTGCTAGGGGAGGGGGCTTCAGAAAAGACAGTCTTCCATCCCCATCAGTTCTCGGAGGTGAGGTGTTGCCCACCAGGTGTAACTTGGCCTTTGGTTCTGTAGATCTGCAGCCTCATGCGAGGAGGAATAGCCGAGAGAGGAGGCGTTCGCGTGGGACATCGGATCATTGAAATCAACGGACAGAGTGTTGTCGCCACCCCCCACGAGAAGATCGTCCACATTCTTTCCAATGCTGTTGGGGAGGTAGGAGTCGGGGCCCAGGGCTGGAGAGAGGCTGAGGGTGTCCTCTGGGGCCCCCTGGCCTTAAACAGGCCTTCCAGAAAACCTTCCAGAGTATCCTTTCCAGTCCTACCAGTTGGTGTCAGATTGACTCTGACTCATGGTGACCCCATGTGTGTCAGAGTAGAACTGTGCTCCATAGG